TCAGTGGCGTTCTCAATGGACGGGCGACTGCTGGCGTCGGCCTCAGACGACAGCACAGTCAAGCTCTGGGACCCGGCCAGCGGCGCGCTGCGCCACACCCTCGAGGGCCATGGAACTGTATATAGACTGAGCTTCGCAGAAGACAGTTCATACCTGGAAACCAACTTGGGGATAGTGAATTTACCACCATGTGTCAATGATAATCCTGTTCATCCGACCAAAATTGAGATCAGTGTTTCGGATCATGATTGGGTGACTATACAGGGTAGGAAACTCCTCTGGCTACCTGCAACCTATCGACCAACCCATGTGGTAACCCGAAATGGCATCCTTGTCATGGGGCATGCATCTGGACGTGTTACATTTTTTGAGTTCTGTCTGTAAGCATTACCCAAGATTGCTGCTTCCACCATTCTTTATATTCTACTCTCTCTCTAAAAGGAGGGCCTGGGATAAACATGGTATATAAAGCGTTTCATCCTATCAAACCACGAGTCTATCTCCTTCTAGTCATCTAAAGAATGTGGTGAAATCACAAGTGGCATTGGTTGTTGGATTTGCCGCTTATCATTATCCAGAAATGAATTTCGGTCACTGTGAATGAGTCATTATTAGTATCTTGGAATATTCGCCTATCTACTGTAAATTAGTAATCGATTCCTCTCACTATAGTACGCTACCATGGGACAGCTGCCAAAGTATGGGCTCTGAGTGGATAGCGGGCATGGTCACACCTGAGTGTCTCTTCCAATTAAGCTTCGCTGAATGTGTAATTCGGGAGTCTGGTGCATTTAGTCAGACTGCTGGACAGATTTGCACTGAACGTTCCAGAATCCATGTACTATTCCTTACAAGTAAAAATATTATCGAGACCGTTTCGTACCATACATGACATATTATATACATATTCAAGCATAAATTTATGTGTGCCATATACGGTTTGGCGTTCCTTGGCATTTAGGGTTTGGAATCAATTCCGAAGTCTGACATGGAAACTGATTTCGGAGTCGTCTGTATCACTGGGGGCAGCTGAGAAGACCGAGCTTATCCATATCACCAGGAGAAGAAGCGAGCAACTACGAGGGCAAGTAGTCATAAACGGGAAAACCGTCAAACCATCACCCACGGCGAAGCTACTGGGTGTGATCTTCGACCATGAGTTGCGGTGGAAAGAGCATATCCAGCAAGCCATCAAACGTGCCACCAAGGTAACCGTTGCTCTGGCTGGACTGCGACATCTACGCCCAGAACAGATGCGACAAATTTACCAAGCGTGCGTCACACCAGTGGTAGACTATGCGTCAACAGTCTGGCATGACCCTCTACGTGATAAAACCCACCTGCGCCACCTAAACACAGTGCAAAGGGCCCCTCTGGTTCGTATCCTGTCGGCGTTCAGGACAGTAGCGTCCGCCACTCTAAAAGTGGAAGCGCATGTCCTTCCAACACACCTCCGCCTCCGCCGCCGAGCACAATATACCATCGCGAGACTCCACACTCTACCTCGTATTCACCCTATTTGGGGTGCGCTCCTCCGAGCTCAGAGACGAAGGAACAACATTGGAAGCTACGCTCGGTTCCCACTAGCGGAAGCTCTAAAGACTATGGACTTACAAAGATTGGATGAACTAGAAACAATCGACCCAAGTCCACTGCCACCGTGGCGAGCTGAACCCTTCGCGGAGATTGAGGTTGGATCAGACCGAGAAACGGCCGTGGAGCGAGCTGAAACTACACGGTCCACATCGGATATTGTTGTCTACTCAGATGCCTCTGGACGCGAGGGTCACCTAGGCGCTGCCGTTGTGGCACTCGACAGCAACTTGGAGACTGTCGAATCCCAACAGATTCAAGTAGGACCAATGGACCGCTGGTCGGTTCATGTAGCGGAGCTTATTGGTATCTTCTACGCTATCAGCACAGTGTTTAAAGTTGCCCATCAGCCCTCAGAAAGCTTAGAAAGGAGACGGAAAACAGCGACAATACTGTGCGACAGCCGATCAGCCTTGCAGGCGACTCAAAATCCGACGAACAAATCTGGACAGCGGATCATCCATGCGATCCTCCAGGCTGCCAAAGAGGTCCAAACAAAAGGAATCGCGCTGCGCCTTCAATGGGTGCCAGGGCACTGCGATAACCCTGGAAATGACGCTGCAGATCAACTGGCCAAGGATGCTGCACGCCCAGGCAAAACGCACCCCTTCTGCCCACTACTCTCGAGGGAGAGCGCGCGCCTCCACGGCAATATCCTTAATCAGTGGGAGCAGGAATGGAGGTCATCCAACAAAGGTGGTCACCTACGAAAGATCGACAGCACCCTACCAGCAACTTACACGAGGCTATATGGGAGCCTGCCCAGGAACCGAGCGTACTTATTAACACAGCTACGCACAGGTCACAGTTGGTTATCTACCTACGCTAAAGCCTTTCGCTTCCGCGACGACGACCGGTGCGTGTGTGGCGCACAAGAAACTGTCACCCATGTGCTGGTGGATTGTCCAGATCTGAGGGACATTCGAAGAGAGCTACGAAGGGAAGTAGGGGACGCGTTCAGTAGCGTCTCGAGTCTACTGGGAGGCTCGACCGTAGGTAAGAAAGGTAAACCACACACCGTCTCAAGAGCAAAGACGGTCAAGGCCGTTTTGGATTTCGCCGAGGCGTCACAGCGGTTTTGGAATTGCGCGCCACGAGGGCAGCCTAACAATGGGAACGGCAGTTAGGCCACGGCAGGCCTTGACGAGGCACTAAGTTCGTTTTCAGGAAGTGGAACACACTACATGTACGTACGCGCGGATATATATAGTTGAGGTAGCCTGCATATCGCTTTCGAGCGAGGGGTCGGGGTAAATGATATCAACCAACCAACCAACCAACCAGTCTGTATCACTGCAGCTAAACATAGTGAGAGACCTCCCACAGTTATCCAAGGAAATCATGAATGGGTTACAATTGTGGACTGTATTGGATCCAGAGGTTGTTATATTCCACCTTTGATTATTCTGAAAGGGAAAGAGCAGCAAGCTACTTGGTATCAAGAATCAACCCTTCCACAAGAATGGCGAATTGCAACCAGTCCAAATGGTTGGACCACTGATATAATAGGCCTTTGCTGGCTTAAGGAGGTATTTGAACCATATTCTAAACAACATTCAACTGGTGCAAAGCGGTTACTTATTCTTGATGGCCATAGCAGCCATTTGACTGCAGATTTCGATACCTTGTCACGGGCTCGGAATAGTAGATAATAACGAACTGAATTCCTATCTAGACTATTGTAGCCATCGACGAGAATATCGAATCCGGAGAAAAAAAAAGGGAAGAGGAAATCTATCTAGGTAATGAAGGGTTTTTATAGAGGTTGTTGGCGACATGGCTTAGTAGCAGCATTTGCGATGTATCATTCATTGCTGCAGTGTTGAGCCGTCATATATGAGTCGTCACATACCTTTCGCAAAGAGAATGCAATTACCTGCCTTTG